GATTATTTAAATTTTTTAGAAAAAACTCACATTGATAATCTTTGCTTGAAGCCATAATAATTCCAGCAGTTCCGTATTTATTATGGATACTATCGAACAGAGATGTGTAATAAACAACTCTATCATTCGCAGCAATAACTAATGCATTAAAAATAACATAAAAAAGGGCTGGAGGGAAGAAATGCATTTTGAAAAACCCGAGGAATAATTTCTCATCACCATGAACTCTGTGAACCGTTAGCACTGAACCAGTGTTGCGAACTAGTTCAGATTTGTACGCAATATCAGTGGATCGTTTTACTCGTTTTACAATGCCTGCATGTAATATTCTTTCGATCGTTTCAAACCCTGCGTTGTGCACAAATTGTCCGATTCACACAGATAACCTATCCCTCACTTCCACGTAACGGTGTACACTGCCTTGTTATTACTGCCTCTAAGAAATCGCAAATGCAAATTAACGTGAAGGTACGAGAACTCATTTGGAGTTCATTAAATTAATCGATGGGAAATTCAATTAATCCACAAATCAAGGGAATTACAATTTCTCGTTAATGGGGAGAAGCAATCAAAAGTTCAAAAAATTGAATGAATTCAATTGAACAATTTAATTTAATTTAATTTAATTCAATTTGAGTTAATGTTATATAATGTTAATGTTAACGTAATTAATCGGGAGTTTATGAAATTAATGTATTATAAAAATAAGAGGAGTGGAGAAATAATTACATAAATTCCATTAACTTCGAATAATTGACTCAATGAGTAATAATAAATTATTTTACTCGACTTTGGTCTACGCCAGTGGATTTTCACAGGAGAAATGAACACGTTTACTCCTTTTATTCGTAAATTTTAACGTCTTGTCGCTGAATCTTTCGCTGATGCGATGAAAGCCGTGTTCCATTATGAAAATAATGAGAGCAATGATGAATCCACCGGTTAAGACACAGAGGATCGGTGCTATTCCCCATTTATCCACAGGTGGATGGATAAGTTCAGGTGAATCCTCTCGTCTGAAGTACTCCTTCTTCAATCGCTCGAGAACTCCATTGTCCCTGAACCTCTGAATGCTAGATAAATAAATAAACTCCTTAGAACCGTTTATTTACTTGGAAGAATTTTTCAGAATGATAATCGATTGATCAGAAAATTAATTCCAATGAATTTATCGATTTATATGAATATAGGAATTAATTGAATTCATTTACTCACTGAAAATTGACCAGAGGCGTGTATTCACTGTGCAAAGGCATGATCATTCCCAATGTTTCGATTCTTCCAGTTTTTATTGACGCTATTTCACAGGGAATTCGAGTCAGCATTGCGTCTTTCATAGCTTCATTAGTGACAAAGGCAACTCTTTCATTGCACACCTAGAAATAGCAATTCCCCCGAAAAAATTGTGAGAGCTCTAAATATTATTTATTAATAA